CGAAGATAGGCAAAGTTTTTTGAGTTCCTCCTCTCGTTATCTGTTGCTTTCTACTGGCTATGACTCTTGACTGAAGCATGGGATCGATAGGCAAAGTTTCCCGAATTCTTCCTGATTGACAAGTTGTTTGTAGCAATGGCAAGGTCACCGGATAAGCTGCCACGGCCGGATCCTGACGGCCGTGTTATAATGGTCAAAGCATTATTAGACTCCAAGGGTGTTCGAGATTTCGAACCTGTCTCCCTTTTCTGTGGCCATCTGACAACTGGGCAAGGTAAAGAGTCCCGTTCACAAGCTTGTAAACTCTTCACTCACACCTTATCTGCTTGCAGAATATCGTTGGGGAGATTGAGCAAATGGCTGATGACGTTTTCGAAGAAGTCGTCAGCTCACCAATATCAAAGAAGCCGTTCTTAAACCTGCACAAACTGCGCATCGAGTTCAGAATCAACACTTTGCTTTGGGTGACCGTGTTACGATGGTACAAGACTCTGGAGGCATTCCGCTATCAGTCAAAGGTATCGTCATTGGGCCCAATTCGAAGACTATAAGCGTAATGTTGGATGTTCCGTTTACGTTTGGTAGTATGACGTTGGGGGATCTATGTATCGATTTTCCCTCCTTCGTATTTGCTTGATGCTTACGGTGCAAATGTAGGTGCTCGCAGTATTGTGGTTCGACAGTCCAGCAAACCCACTCTTCGTCTCCTTGTGAGACAACTGATAAGGCCACTATATTTCCATTCAAACTTGCCAAAGGTTCAATGTAAGTATCAGCGCAATCTATGCGGAAGAACCAATAGTATATTTGGCAGTTTAGTGATGTCGCAGGAATCTGGGGTGCAAAGCAATGCTCATTTGAGAAGGCATCGATCCGAATTGCCAATATCTCTTAAGACTGGCCCGTAGAAGTATAAGTAGAGTAGATAGTCACACTGACGACCCACACTGAAACATCCTCAGCATGTCTTTGAACCCAACAGATTCCGGAACTGTCGACTCGGGGGTCAAGGGTACAACCGTTTTTGCATTCTAAGTCCTACATCTTGTTGACATGATCATATGTGTAGATCCCGGATCCACTCCTATATGGTCCAGCCCCGGTGAAGGAGGGAGCGGTGGTAACCCATTCGACGACTCCCAACCGTCTCTCGGAGGAGTGACGGAGATTCGAGTGTGGGCTGACAAGTACATTGACGCTATTCAAGTCGCGTACGTTGACACCGTCACTCCTAAACATGGTGGGGGTGGAGGTCATGCCTACACCTTTTTTTTGGACACCGACGAGAAAATTGTGAAGATCAATGGTCGCGGTTCAAAGTATATCGATCAACTGCAATTCTTTACTGACATAGGTGACTTCTTCTAGCATTTTGATTCGCCCGCTTTGTTTTATGACATTGGCTGTAATACAAACAGAAGCTCCCCTGTTTACGGTGGATCCAGTGGGAATTCATTTAGCTGGAGTCCGCCCCAAGACTATTATCTCAGAAACTTTAGCGGGAGGAGGTAAGCACAGCCAGAGAACGTGCCATTCAACTTCAACTAGTCTCAATGAACGCAGTGACAAATACCTCGATTCGCTTCAGTCAATCTTTAATAAGGAGTAACTAGTAAATCCCGAGTCTATGGGGTTGTGTTGGATTGTTCGCGGGCTTCCAAGCACCGTCATGTAACGCGTATTGACAATAACAATAATGCAATGGTTGGGGTTGGGTTTATAAACATGGAGGTTCCAATTTTTTGACAACTTCACGGAGTCAGCAAATGTAAGAAATGCATTGCTTTTCCGGCCCTCGCGCCTTGTTACCGTATTAATTTTTACGCTTGACGACAAGCGACTCATCAGACACTCCTCACACGCCTTCATTAGGAAAAATCCAGGAGATACTACGTCTAACTAACAACTAATTTACATAAAATTTGCTGGATACACACTCATAATTTGTTGTGAATCACAGGGTTTTTCCTCCGTGGTTCATGTTGAAGGCAAGCTCCGCACTGTCAAATAAAGAATGATTTTGCAGATCAATCAACCCGCAAAACAAATCCCACAATGAAATTTACGAAAACAACATCCGAATAACTGTCAGTGAAATGCCTCAAGGTCAGAAGAGTGGGGCTCTCTGATCATATGAATTAATTGGGGCGCGGCAAGACTTTTTTTGGTCTCCTGGAGAAACCTGGTGGATTGTATCGGAGCGACTGGGGATACTATTTTGCAACTATTTTGGATCAAATTCAGGTGGTTTCGCGATGCGAAAGGTGAGTGCAGGTGGGGAAAGGAAGCGAGTAGAGTTGCGGAAATGAGGGCATGTGTCCGTGAATGGCCATTGAAGAATTTGTTGATTCAGAGTACTATGTACATAGCACAAAAGACGGAAAGGACAATACTTCAATATGGCGGAGCCCACAATAAATATCGAAACCCCAGCCATCAATGAAAGCCGATTCAAGTTTCAGTCCCTTCCAAGAGCACTTGCGACGTGCGTGAAAGCAGGATCATGGGACGGTCTGTGGGACCAACAGCCGGAGGGGACGTAGGCGTAAGAAAGCGCGTCGTCAAGCGGACACGTTAATCAAGGATATTGATGGCCATGGCCACGAATCGGCTGGTCGGAACTCGACAGACAATGCGAGGCCACCGTGGTGGCCCGAGGGACGCACTTCAAGGCATGTCACGTGCGTTATTTAAGAGGGAGTCCACTTGGAGTCCACAGCAATCCGTCCTCTGTCCCTTCTTCAACAAACATCGTCTTCCTGGCTCCTAATTACTCCAGTTCGATGTCCACAAACACAGACAGCTCCCTCCAAGTGCGACGATCCACAAGACTCAATAAGGCGCTTGAAGAAGGGCTTCCCACCGACTCCTCGGAAATCGTCGCCTTTTCGACCAATAAAAGTGGCACCAAAGAGAAACGCATCGAAGGATGCTTATCGTAAGTTTTCCATTCGTCGTGATCCACTTCCACCTAGAAGTTGATGCCTCACTCTATGCTCCCTGTAGATCGCGAGAAGGCGAGTCCAAGGACAGCCGCGACTCGTCACGAATTGATGCCTTTTTTGAGTCGAAAAGCCAAGGTTCCGGGCCGAAGTACCGCGTCGACGGAACGTCTTTGTGAGTTTCTCAATCTGGCCCGCCCAGTTACTACGGACTGATAAATGTCCGTGTTACAGGAATATACCTCCAATCGCTTCACCTTCTATAAATTCCCTTAAGCGCAAGGGCGATGCGCAGACTGAGGAAGCGCCTCCCAGGAAGAAGTTACGAGGAAGCGACGCCATCGCGGCGCATATGATCCTACACCCAGGCTCCAGAAAGTTCCAACCCTGGACTTCGGGGCACAAAAAATATGACCTGGAGAAGGTGTACAATAAGGCCATCGAAAATTTGAATATACTAAGGGATGGTCAGACGACGGTGACCCAAGAGGAGAAAATCAAGGTTGCAGGACTAGAAGCGGACCCTCGCGTACTTTGGTACACCTTCGTCTCAGTCAAATGTGCTGGATGTGACGGGGTGTTGTGTGGTGACAAACGTAGGGCTTTTTATACCACGCTTTGGAGCAAGCATGCAAGAAGCTGCGAGCCAGCTAAAGCAATTTATCAGAGGCAGGGTGCGCCCGCACCGTCCATGCCGGTGAGTATTCCATCTCTCAAAGAACATTTCACCTTCTGACCTGCTGTTTAGACTCATACCCCAAAGGACCATGAAGGGGCGAATTCGCTCGTGTTGCTAAGCAGCGGATTTGGAACTCCAAGCCAGGCATCGACGCCAGCCTCCTTGAGCTCCTAAAAGTCGGTATTGGCCTCGGGAGACAACGTGAGGTTCCGGGTGAATTGGTCATGGGCTGGCATAATTAAATTTGAAAACGGGCTTGTATCGTATTGAAGTATTCGCTTCGGAAATTGACCAGAAAGCGTGCCGTAACTTGCGATTAGCCGTCGGATTTGATTTGAACAAAGATGAAGCTGAAAGAAGGAGATATAATGGCACCAGTGCGGGGCATTTTTTCGTGTTTGTAGCTGTTATTGAACTTATTCGCTTATGTACGTTTCTGAAATGTTATGGGTTCAACGGATATATCCGAAAATCTAATCTAAGGCAGAAGATGGCACTTGTGCCGGGAAAGGTTCAGGACCGCGCCCGAGGACCAGTCCTGTATAAAGAGAGCAACGGTCATGGGCTGGCATAATTAAATTCAAAAACGGACTTGTATCGTATTGAAGTACTCGCTTCGGAAATTGACCAGAAAGCGTGCCGTAACTTGCGGTTAGCCGTCGGATTTGATTTGAACAAAGATGAAGCTGAAAGAAGGAGATAGTGGTGGCACTTGTGCCGGGTATCATAAAAGACTGGGGTATAGGTCCTCGAAAGTCAGATGTCGATCAATTGTGGCCTAGCAAACACATGAATCAGCCTAAACCTGGATGAAAGCGCCAAGAACTCACCAATAGATAAATACGAATATCGAGATATAGATATAGATAGTGAATGAGTGTAGTAGCAACTAGTCTTCAAGTCCTCGGGCCAGTGGCGTCAATGCAAATCGTCCTCCTCTCTGAGAGAAAGAAGGTTCAGGACTGCGCCCGACCACGCCTGAACAAAGGAAGCAATCGCTTGAAGCGCTGCCCTCCTTTCCATCCTTGAGTCCTTTCATGATCAGGCGCACTAACGTCTGAGGGTCCGAACAAGTACGTCTTTCTCAAGTCCTACCATAACCACCACCATCAGCACTTTAGCACACACGTTGGGGAAAAGAGAGCTCACAAGAGATCTAGAGCTCGATATCTACACCACACCATACCCACAAATCAGCACCTCTATTTCAAATACCAAGAGATGGAAACCAAACCGTGTGACTGACCTGTGGATTCTGCATGTTCTGGCAAAGATCCTTCCCCTCCTCGATCACTTTCAACTCTTTTTGCGAAGGAGGTCGGCCACGGGATTTGATCTTCTTTTCGTAGTTTTCATATTGCTCTTTCATCTTCTTGCGCTGGCGCTTTGTATTAGCGCTATTAATCGATATGATTAGTTAGAGTACAGAAGGGAGGGGGAAACGCCTACTTCACAGCTTGCATCAGCTGCCGTAGGGTTGGCCGTGGATTTTCCTTGAGGAGATCAATGATAGCCTAGAACACGCCACTGTTATCAACTCCATTTCACTCCTAAACAGAGACAAACTCACCTCAGTCATCGACTCCCCCGCCTTATTCTCAACGCCCATCTGGGAATCTTTGCAAGCGGACACGCAAACCTGTCCCCAACATTCCATTCAGTCCACAAAGAGAATTGTCATCGGGACGTGAGAAGGGACATACAACATGCTGCCGATCAAGACTAGACAGATCCATTCGCGCACATAACCCCGAGCAGCGTTTCCGAGGGTTGATAACAATGTTAAAAGAGCTTTGCCTCGGTAGGGGTGAAGCTGCTGGCTTTCCCGTGCTGGCCTTCTTCCCTAAGGCCTTGAGGCCACTAAACCGACCATGAGGCCTGCTCTTCAAGTCGGGCTTGGGGTAAGTCGGGTCTGTCGACTCTTCCGGTCTGTCCGTGTCTTCGGGCCTCTGTGTTGGCTCAATCTTCCGCAGGACGTGCGACTTGAAAGGGAGCACGATGCGAGCATAGGGTTCTACGAAAACTAAAAAAAATTATCTGTTACCCTAAAAGAAGCAAGAGGGAGAGGAAGGGGACGTACATCGTCTGCAGAACCGACGAACTACATCATATTACGAACGTCAGCGTGAGAGAAAGACGCAAGGAAGGGGAAGTTACAGTGGGGAAAAAGGAGAGGAGGAGAGCGGGAAAAGAGATAACGGGAAGGGAGTGGTAGACGATGGAAAAAAGAGGAGGAGGGTACCCACATCGGCTGGGCCAAGTGCCTATTCGATGGCAACGATGATGCTTCAAGTCTGTCGGGTAGATGTTAGCGAGGTATAGGATGGGGGTGGTTTGCAGGGGGATAAGAAAAACATTGAAAAGATAACGTGAGAGCGCCGGAGAGCAATCATGACGGAAAGGCACACAAAGACGACGGAAAGCGGGCCGAGAACAGATAGACAATAAGAAAATACACACCAAGCAAAGTTGCAGAATGACAGCAGTCAAAGATGGCCTGTGACATATCAGTACGGATGGGGGTGACACGAACGCAATCGACACATACCACAAGTTTCGCTTGCGGGAACAAAGGCAGAACCAGACACTGCCTGAGGATCTATATACATCACCTCATCATCAGCAACAATCCTATTTTTCATTTCAAAAGCAAGCAGAAGACGTACATCATCAAGTATGATCTTCTCATCTACCACCTTCATCTCGGGACCGATACTGATAGCGTCAAGGGGAATGATATCTACCGTCACACACTCAATCAGTCGCCAAATGATGTGGGAAGGGAAAAAGGGACGCACATTCATCGTAGCCGTCCTCTTCCTCTTCTTCCTCTGCGGAGTCGGAGGAGGAGAAGTGGGTGACGAACTTCAAAAGATCGGCTTCGATGGCGTCTTCTTCTGACAGCCCAAGGGTGGAGGTCTCGATGGTGGTGGTGGTGTGGGCGGTGCGGGTCGAAATTGTTCGTTGGACGGTCGTGTACTCGGGTAAAGATACCCAATTGGGGAGGCTTGTATTGGCGAGGGCTGTGGAGCATTCAGAGGTGGTGGCATTGGTGATGGTAGTGGTGTTGTTGTCGGTGATCTGAGGAACAGCGCTATTGCTATTGGTGTTGGTAGTGTCGGCCGGTGGAGTTTCCCTCTTCTCGCTCTCCTTCCTCTGCGCCGAATGACCAGAATCTGCACAGACGATCAGCTCACTTCAACACACACAAGGGTGAGGGAGATACCCACACAACAGGAAGTGCTCGTCCCCAGGCGACGAGCCCGCCGTAAGCCTCATGATCTCCCTGAGCTGCAACGTCATGTAGAAGGTAGAGTCCAAAGTAACTCAAAGGAACAACATACAATATTGGCTCTAGTAGGCAGATATTCCTGTTGCGTCCCAGGTGCGTCGGTGAGCACCACAATATTCGCATCTTGGTATCCACCTTGAGCTTTAAAAAATGATCAGCTTGAAGTAGCTGCAAGAACTTAGTTAGACCTACTCAATAATAGCTCCCTGAACTCCCTGACCTCGTTCTGCGGGCCCCTCAAATTCCAATCAGTGCCCTCGGGGTAATTAATTCCAATGAGAAGCGCCTTCTTTCGAAGAGGTTGGGCAATATTTGTTGATGATGTGAGAGCGGAACCGATGCTGTTCTGTAGTACACATAATGGATAGTTGTGACCTAAAAACAACAAAAACTCCAAAAAAAAACTAACCGTGACTGTCAACATAGTCGAAAGGCCAACTGGTAGCTTCATCGCCTGCGAAGTTGAGGCAGCAGGCAGGTGAAGGTAGGGACACTGCTGAACAAGAGTACTCATTTGCAATACGCGATGATTTGGTGAGATAGATAGGTCGCAAGATAAAGATAAGCGTACACAGCTCTGCGGGTTTCAATGAAATCCATTATAAGTGTACGGAGTAGTTGCACTGCCGTCTCAAGTCTGTGTAATGAAGAAGAAGACACGTGGAGATCGGCACGGTGACTGATCGGGATTCGGGACGAATGCAAACTTCGCCAAGTTTACATCCTCTACCTCCTCCCCCACGTATGTAGCCCGACAGCGTCCTCAGGCAATTCGCCATAATTCCCAGTGACAACCCAACCGAGAGAGAATATTATGGCCCATGATATGGGCCTTACAATAAACTCTTCCACACGATCTTCACTGCGGATACAATGCGGATAGCGAATTTGCTATCTTGCCCCAATACCTTGAAAATACTCTCGATATAGACGATCCAACCATGACATTTCAAGTTCTCGACTTGAAGCCATTGCTGATTTTACATCTCAAATTCCCAGGGGACATTGCACCTCCCTCAAGCCGCCAGGCTGCGGATGACCAGATTAGGTTGAGATTAGGTCTCACCTGGTCGATATTAAGTATAGGCCAGTCATCCTCATGCACAACTACTTGTAATGGTAACCCTTACTGCTGTATCTGACGTAGAATACGAAAACTAGCCGATGAAAACTCTTCATGGCGTCAGTGCCTTCGGCACACACTTATATTTCTACCGCTTGGATACAACTACCAAACAGATTACGCCCCTCACGGTCGGCGGTGTGCCCCCCATACACCAATGGGACTGCGATCTCTTAGCCGCCGAAGGGAGCGCCGGTTTCGCGCGGTTTGTGAAGAGATTATGGAAGACTGCGCAAGCAAGAACGCCCATACGTAACGGCAATTGTGGTTGCCAGTGGGTGACACAGCGATCTTGAAGGCTGTAAACGTCGAGAACGCGCTCAACACGTTTAGTCACAAGGAGAAAGCTCCACATGGGGCTGTGAAGGCGAGGGGATCTGTCAGGCGCGCATGTCGTAAAGGGGTGTGTTGTTATGAGGGCGCTTGCCCTGGTACTAGTATTTCAAGTTATATAATGAATAAATGTATAGGTATCTATCATGAGTGGTATCCGGATCCGTGTATAGAATAAGTCCAATGGTATGTATGTACGAATGCAATGTTACAGTTTAAGAACCGATGCAGCGCAGACCGGTAAAAGAAATCTGGTCAACACAACCACAAAATCCAATCGAAACAAGGAGCATCATAGCTCGCGCGGAACAGCACACTCAAAGTTCCCAAAGCCGCCCCATCTCCTACACGTTATTATCAGTCTCATTCAAAACCCATCAAACAAAGAAATACTCACCAAAGGCCTGGAGCTAGAGATTTGGGGATCTTGAAAGTTATCCATCTCCACTTCCTGTGGAACCATCACTGAGCGCCCCTTCGCCGCCAACTTCGCATTTTTCGCCTTAACTTGCTTTTTGTAGTCCCGAGACATGGTGTGGAGACGGAGGTAGTACCTGTGGAGATCGTGGCTGGAGGGGCGGGTGGGTCAGTGACGGACTAGAGGGGTGAAGGAAGGGGAGGAGTAGCGAGGGAAGGAAGACGGGGAAAAGACAGAAGACGAAGGAAGGAAACATGACGAAGAGAGGAAGCAAGACGTAGTAAGGGCGGAAGACCAGGAAAGGACGGAAGACCAAGGAAGAAAGGAAGACGAGGAAAAGGGGGATAGAAAAGGACCCACCTAACATTCGTCAACAGATCCCTCAAACTAGGATTCGGATCCTTCTTCAACAACGCGATCAAAGCCTAGCCGAAAGTATCAGCAAACCCTCTCCCCCCTGAATTGAGAAAGAAACCCACCTGGGTCATCGACGACCCACTCTGATCCTCCCACGACCTCTGGCCATCCTTCGATGCAGACAATGATATCTACAGCCCACCCAATCAGGTCAACCTCCATTCAAAATCACAAAAAGGAAGAAAAAAGGAACATACAACATCAACATGATGCACCACGCCCCCATTCGCCTTCTTCTCCATCTCCCACCGTTCATGACAGAATCCAGTGCAGAACAACGCTTCGGGGGACATACACCGTTGGATAGGCGACCCAGTGAGGTTTTCATACCAATGTTCCGAAGCTCCCGACGGTCCAAACGCATTTGCTCCTGCTGGTACCGAATAACCGCTTGTTGTATGATATGACTCGGTCGATCTGCGTGATGAACTCCCGGCTGCAGCTGCAGCTTCCAACGAAATCGCTGCAGCACCCAGCGAACCCTGCCTGGCTTTATTGCCCCCCACAACCACGTGTTGTCCTCCGGGAAACATAACACCGCCTGGCGGAATAGCTCCCTCCGAGCCAGCTCGCACGCCTACAAGAGACGTCGAAGCCTTCACGTCCGTCCGGATAGTCAACGATTGGGCTTTGATGCCTTCCGGGGACACGCCTTTCTTTGCCAACGGTGTCTTCCCACCCGGCTTGACGTTCTCCTTATCCTTGCCCTTGTTGCCAGCCCCCTCAACCCGCTGAGAAACAACCTTGGTCGAACTCTTTGTCGTGATAGCGATCTTCCTGAAATCGTATTGACTAGGTTCGTAAAGCAACTGCGTAGCAGCCGCCTTGATCCCTTGCGCATTGGTCCCGTACGCAGCATCGAGGTCTTCATTCCACTCATTGATTTGTCCCAACCCAAACTCTCCAGGACTCAAAGCAGGCGACGCAGCCGTCGAGGAGGGCCCAACGTCCTCCGCAACCGATTCCATGCCCATCGACCCACCAACCTCCGCCAACCCGGCAGACCCAACAACAGGTGACTCCAATATCCGATCAATTGACGTCCGCCTCCACCGCACCGAACGTGAGCTCACACGTCTGGTTTGATACACTTTTCGAGAAGAGATGTCGAGTTGTGGGAGGAGGGGTTTCGCTTGGTGTTGTTGAGCTTGGGTTTGGGAGTGTTGGGCGGTTTGGTGTTGGGGCTGTTGCTGAAACTGGGGGTTTTGGTGGTGGGCGTGTTGGTGAGGGTGGGTGTGAAGGGGTGTATGAGGGTGTGGGCGTCTGCATGGACGGGCATCGGGATAGGGAAGTGGCTGGGAAGTGGTGGGTGAGGTAGCAGGAGAAGAGGAGGAGGAAGAGGAGGGAGCGTCGGGTCGTAGGGAGGGGAACATGATGGGAGACGGGGAAAAGTTGTTTGCGTTATCGGTTGAGGAATACGTCTCACCACCGTCCAGTGAAACTTCCGAAAAAGAAGCCAAAGAAGCATACCGCTCCCCCGCCTCCAACTCCAACTCCTGCTTCACCCAAGGCGGACACGTACATATACACGTACACGTCACAGGTGAAGACGTAGCAGGGTTAAGCGGGGACGGCTTGAACGTCGTATGCAACGGGCTCTTGGGCTGAGATCCCGCAGGGCTCCGGACAGGACTTTGAGGAAGAACATCAGGATTAAGCGGGGACGGCTTGAACGTCGTATGCATCGGGCTCTTGGGCTGAGATCCCGCAGGGCTCTGAGGAGCATTCCGAACAGGACTCGTAGGACCCTGATTGGCAGCAGGAGTTTTAGGGCCCAGTGGGGTAGGCGGTCCCACTGGCACTGCTTGTCTCCTGACTTTATGAGATGGTCGATATAAGAGACGGGAAAAGGGGAGGAAATTGGAATGAAGGCTTACCGTTAACGTTCCACCGCGAGTTACTCCTTCGTCTGCCTTTGTTCATCCAGGGGACGTAGACGCGGTTGCATCGGAAATGTTCGAGGTCTGTGAGAGGCATCAGCATGCGAACGGAAGGGTGGATAGATAAGAGGGCGAAGAGGAGGATCAGGAAAGTGGAAGAGGAGCGAAGGAGGCGGGAGAAAGGAAAAAGGGAACTGGGAGCAGAGGATAATGGAGGAAACATGTTGGGAATGAAGTGTGTTGGGAGTGAAACAGAGAGGAAAGAGGACGAAGAGGTTTGAAGATAAAGGAAGAAAAGATGATGAAAGGAAACATCAAAGGCAAGGAAGAAGGAAGGGGTACAAGGGAAGGAGGAGGTGCCAGGAGCGAAGAAGAAATGTTTGAAAGATGAAGAGGGGAGCATGCCGGGAACGAATGAGGAAGGAAGGAGCGTATCTGAAACGAGAGAGAGGGCAGTCGTGCGTTGGGAGAAAAAAGCGTGTTGAGAGTGAAGGATAACGGAAGGAGCGTATCGGGAATGAAAAAGTGACGTTGGAAACCAAAAAAACCCACCAAGCAAAGAGGCAGAATGACACGAATCAAACACCGCCTGCAGATATCTCATCAACGTGGAACAGCACAAAGCAAAGTAGAAAAAAAGACATACGACGAGTGAACTCCCAATAGGAAGCGGAGCAACGAGACGTTCTCGTAGAACCTAGAGTGAACGTCAGCACCAAGTCTATGTACCCCGTGAAAGGAAGAAAGGAAGAAAGACGGACGTTATCCTGAATCAACTCATTGTCCATCGCCACGATGACTAGATCAACATATGTATGTATCAGTGACAGAGCAAGAAGGAAAGAATGGTTAACGAGGACGTACATTCATCTTTCCCATCTTCCTCTTCCAACAGGTTATCTGTATCCTGTTGTGTCGAATGGCCTGCAACTATTCAACATTCCACGTCAGACCGCATACTTATACACCGCCGCTTGAAAGAGAGAGAACGTACAATGAAAGAAAAACCGATCCCCAGAACGCGCGTCCTCCACCAGTTCATCCATCCTTCTCATCTTACCATTTCCCTTCATCAGCAAAAAGAAAAAGGTGGAAAAAAGAAAAGAAAAGAGGACATACAATATTATCCCTCGTAGGCTTCATATCCTCCTCCAAACCATCCTTATCCATCAATAAACATATCTCATCGGGATCGTATCCGTAATGATCTACCGTGTACACCGACGTCAGTCGAATCGAGTTAGAGTGGAAAAAAAGAAGGAAGGACCCACCGATCAACAACTGACGCATATCCAATACGTCTTGATGCGGTCCTCTCAGCCTCTCGACGTGGTCGTAGTTCTGTATCCCGATCAACAAAGCCTTGCGCTTGGGTTTTCGAGGCGTCTCCGAGCCCAACGGCTTTGGCTCTCCGTCGACCTTTGGTTTCCCCTCCTTCTCCTCCTCTTTCACCGCCGTCTTCACCTCCCCTTCCTCCACCTCCCCCTCCCCAACTTTCACCTCCGCAATCCTCCCCTCCGTACCGACATTCACCCATCCTCGCGGACTTTGAACCTCCTGCTGCTCCAAGTCCTTCCGTTTCAGCCTAAACACACCCAACCTCTGCTTGACGATCTTCATCAAGCCCTTCCAAAGCTTTCCTATCTTGCGTGGGGGAGGCACGGTGGGCGAGTCGTAGGGGTGTAATGGTGGAGTGGAGTTGGGGTATTAGGGAATCGGAAACTATAATTGGCCGTGAGTCATTCGCCCTTCTTCCGTTTATAAAGGTACAACTAATTGGTCAAGCGCCCGTAATTAACGGACGCTGTAAAAGAAAGAACAACGTAGTGTACTTACACTGCTCAACGTGCGTTCCCAGCGCTTAATGACGAATTGGCTATGTCAAAGCGCGTGAGAGCTAAGAGAACATAGCTTTGTAGTATCGTTTTGGAGATGGACGAAGGGCACCAGGCGAGCGTGTGTCGTGCTGCCAGGCACACGCTGGCCAGAAGCCAGATAAGCCGTTTGTGCCAATCTTTGATCATAGCTGTAAATAAATTCGATCAGCCAATCACGCATCATTGCGATTTCAAACTCAGTGGCGCTCGACGGGCGCCAACACCCACACGCACCATGCGCTTGGCACGCCGCTCAAGATGCAGTACATATTACTGTGAAGGGCAAGCTTGAACCAGACTTCCGACCTGGCCCCTATCCTTTTGCTAGGCTTTTCTCAATGCATACCAAAAATACCATCGACCCCGGGTTTTCTCTGCTGCCGATGGGAAATCCCGCACCGCACTCAGCGCTGCCTTCGTATCCACACGACGTACGATCGAGAATGGTGCGTCCTAGAGACGGGAGCTAATTATCCTTCAATGGGCTCATTAGCTAGTTATCATGGCGATCG